AACCAATCCATTAAAACACATTTACCTCGGCATGATCAACATATCACTTCACCTCAAATACCTCAATCCGAGTTGCATATTTATAAGAGATGATAAAAACCAATTTCTAAATCAATCCCTGAACATAATCCCGAGTCTCCCACACAGCATGGACATTGTCATGAACCAAAACCGAACGAGAATCCTTTGGAGAATGAATAAGGTAATCAGAGTTCTTCCACTGAATTAAATGTTTTAATTGATGATAATGACTTGCCGATTGCTCAAAGGAAAGGAGTAAGAAAATGCATAAATTATCTAATTGAGAGATTTGTTGCATATGGAAAGCTAACGCCATGTTTTAAGAACTTTACACCAAGTGTAGATAGCATTATTGTTCCAAAAACGGTGGAACAAGCATTGAAAGATCCCAAGTGGAAAAAGGTAGTAGAAGAGGAATTAAAAGCACTGGAAAACAACAATACTTGGATTATAGTTGATCTTCTGAAAGATAAAAAACCAGTCGGCTGCAAATGGGTATTCACGGTAAAATACAAAGCTGATGGTAGCATTGAAAGATATAAGGCGAGATTAGTGGCGAAAGGATTCACTCAATCTTTTGGAGTTGTTTATCATGAAACGTTTGCTCCGGTAGCAAAACTAAACACTGTGAGAGTGTTACTGTCATTAGCAGTTAATGAGAATTGGGTGCTTCATCAGTTAGACATCAAAAACGCATTTCTATACGGAAACTTAGAGGAGGAAATATATATGCAAATTCCATCGGGTGTGAAGAGTAATACAGGAAAAGCATGAAGATTACTAAAGTCCGTGTACGGACTTAAGCAATCTCCAAGAGCCTGGTTTGACAGATTTATAAAGGTGATATTCAGGATGGTTACAAGCAATGTGAAGTGGAACATTCTAAAAAGTGATGATTGTATGGAGATAGAAATATTGAAAAAGCTACTGGCGAAGGAGTTTGAAACCAAAGACTTGAGAACTTTACGGTATTTTTTAGGCATGGAGGTTGCAAGGTCAAAATAAGGAATAATGATCAACCAAAGAAAATATATCCTTGATCTACTATCAGAAACTGGAATGAAGGGATGTAAGCCGACTGAAACACCCATGGAAGCAAATCTGAAGCTAAGGAGAGAAGAATTGGGAAGTCTTGTGAACAAAGAACAATATCAAAGGCTAGTAGGTAAACTAATTTATTTATCACTTACTAGACCTGATATTGCGTTCCCTGTCAGTATAGTGAGTCAATATATGAATGATCCAAGAGAAGAATATTTAGAGGCTGTGAATAGAATTCTAAGATACTTGAAAATGACACCAGGACATGGATTAATTTCTAGAAAGAGTGATGATAGAACAGAAAGATTTTTTTCGGATTCAAGCTGGGCAGGTGAATTAACAGATAAAAGATCTACAACTGGTTATTGTTCATTTGTTTGGGGAAATTTGGTTACTTGGATAAGTAAAAAACAGGCGGTTGTGTCTCGAAGTATTGCAGAAGCAGAATTTAGAGCAATGGAACTTGGAATTTGCGAAGAATTTGGCTTCAAAGAATGTTAACTAAGCTGGGGTTATGTGCCAACAAATGGTTTGAACTTCAAAGTGACGGTAAATCTGCAATAAGTATTACAAAGAATCTAGTTTATCATGATCGAACGAAGCATGTGGAGATTGACATATATTTCATCTCTGAAAAGGTGAATGGTGGAACTATGAAGCTCAATTATGTTTCAACGAAGAATCAGTTAGCAGATATTCTCACCAAAGCACTTCCAAGAATTACCTTTGATGAGATTATATCCAAGTTGGGTCTTTTCAACATATACTCCCCAACTTGAGGGGGAGTGTAGGTTATGCAATAAATAAGTTAGTATTTTAATATAACACTAACTCTTAGAAAGTTAGATAGATAAGGATAACTACTAAGTAGTTTACTTCTAATAGAAAACTTACTCCTAACTTTTCCTATAAAAAGATGTATTTTCACCATTCACAATATATAATAAAAAGAGTTCCTTTTCTTCTCCACTATGTTGTTTACTCTTTATCAACAGGAAGGAATGTCATTTACTGGTTGAACTTGAACATAAAGCTTATTGGGCCATCAAAAAGATAAACATGGATGCTCAGCTTGCTGGAGAAAGAAAACTCTTGGAGCTGAACGAGATGGATGAATTTAGAGCACATGTATACGAGAATGACTGCCTTTACAAGGAGAAAACAAAATGATGGCATGACAGAAAAATATTGCCGAGGTAATTTTATTCTGGACAATAAGTACTGTTCTACAATTCACGCCTTAAGTTAATCCCAGGCAAGCTAAAATCGAGATGGTCAGGACCATTCATTGTTCACCAAGTCCATGACAATGAAGCAATTGAAATTCAAAACCAAAACGATGGTTATATCTTTAAGGTGAACAAACAGATACTCAAGGAGTACAAAGGAGCCCCAGTTATGTGTGACAAACCGACATCGTTAGCACATGATGCCCAAGAGTTTGCTTTACTTAATTGAGCAAATATTCGTTGCCTAGGCAACGAAAATATGAATTCTGTAAATAAATAAGTTAAATTATTTTCTGCTTTAATCCATTTTATTATATTATTTTGTTCTTTCATATTGTAGGCAAGCAAGGAACACGTGGCAGCATGGGGAGTTGAAGCATGCATGAAGGAAAAATGACAAACTAGGGCACAAGGTAATGGCAGTATAATAAAGGGGGAAAGAAATCTTTTCTCCTCTTTATGTCAAATCACATATTTCTCATTTAATGAGAAATCTTTTTCCCATCATATAAAGACTAAAATACCCTGAAACCGCCCATCACTTTCCCAAAAAAAACTACCCACCCACCTCTTCTTCATCGTGTTTCCCTCTTTCTCTATAAACTAGAAATTTTTTTTCTTTCTCTAAAAAAATACCTCCCCATCGCCACCACTAAATTCAGCCAGGAAAAATGGTGAGATCAAGACTGGCTCCAGCCCCTAAACAGAGTCTCGAACATTTCCAAACAACCAAAGAAGAAGCACGCTTCAAAACCATTCAGCAACGCCAAGTATATTTGGAAGATGGATTCATTTTTCCAGCCGAGGGCGAGGAGCCGTTTGGACCCGAGGTGATGGACGTCATAAAGAAGCATACCTGGAAGAAGTTTGCTCAAAATGCTAACGCCACAACACCAGCAATGGTTTGAGAGTTCTATGCCCATCTCAAGGACCCCTCCAACTACACAGTATATGTTCGAGGAAAACTCATTCGCTTCTCCCCCTCTACACTCAAAAAATACTTTAAGTTGGGGAAAGTGGATGACAAGCACAATAGATTTGTGGCCGAAGTAGATCAAGACATATACAGCGGAGTTCTATAGGATTTATGCTTGGGGTGGGCCAAGTTCAAAGGGAATTCCCCCACAAGGAAACGAGTAGATCACCGAGTCTTAATACCACACGTGACATTATTGAACCACTTTCTCAAAGGTAAGTTGATGCCAATGTCTAACAACACCACTGTCCTCATCAAGCGACTGATTCTCTTGCACTCAATTATATAAGGTAGGAAGATCGACGTGGGCGAAATCATCTTTGAGCAGATCCATGACTGTGCAAAATGAAATCGGGGTAACCTACTGTTTCCAAACCATATAACTACGCTGTGCAGGAAGAAAAAGGTTCCTGAGGAACCATTCAAAGATTTCATCAAACCCAAGAAGGGTATTACAAAGAAAAAGGTCCCCAAGTTCATGAGTTTCAATGATGACAACCCGCATGAAGTTTTGGAGCAGGGCGCAAAATCGATTGTCGCAGTTAGAATGGTTGCTGTGGTCACGAACACGTGAGAGACGCGTGAAAAGATTGGACGCCTGGAGGACCACATGAAAATTTACTTCGAGTATGCCAAGGCAAGGGACATGCAACTCAACACCTTCATAAATGAGTTGCTTCTGACCACAATGATCAGACTGCCAACCTTTCCCAGTGTTATCCTCAACTACAGTGCAGGCGATAGCACATTCCATGCCTCGACATCTTATGTCCCTCCAGACGTTCCACCAGAAGTATCCACTGATGTGCCATCACTGGCAACCCATGTCTCACCAGTACCAGAAGAAGGCCAAGGCAACACAGAAGAGTTCCTCAATTCCTCATCCGTCTCGACCACCGACAGAAGCGATGATACTCTACCCCACTTCTTCACTGATGAAGATTTCACGCTAGCACCGAAGTATCCCGAGCATGATCCTATTATGTCCTCGGTTCAATCAGCACCACCAGTCCCAACCGAAATTCCTAGTCCGCCACCCCGTCCCAGCACAACAGACTCCTATGACTGAGCAGTCTACTCCAGCACGTGCCTCATCTAGCAAGAAGCGCTACAAGAGAACAACAGGATGTATACTTCAGCCATCTCTCTCCCCATCAGTAGTAAACTCTAAATCTGATAGTATCTATCCTCCCAAACGACGTCACACGAGGGCGTCCAGTCAAGCCACCCCACCAAAGTAAGTTATTCTTCTTAGTTATCATTTTCTTTTTAATTTTTTTCGTATCTGCATATAAAATAATATAGTGTAGGTTTCACGCATTGAGGATAATGTACCCCTTAAGTTTGGGGGAGGTGTTGTACCATTCTGCCATACTTTGTTAAATAGTAATTGATGTTTATTGGTTGAAAATTTTGGTTGTCATGACATAAGCAGGTTAAGATTATTGTTAGGAATGAATTAGGGATGCCCAATGATGAAAGCAAAATTTTATTACCTAGGCCAGAAATTATTGTTAAGACTGTCTAAAGAAGAGAACCAACCCTAGCCTTGATTCTTTGAAATTTATAAACACGATTGTAGATTGTCATTGCTCTAGGTAATCTGTAAAATTTTTAGGAAATAACTTTCTAATTGCCAAGACTTCAAAAAAAAATATTCTAAGGGTAAAGTAAAAACTCTCTGGTGTTTAAAAACTTGAAAAACTCGAAAAACACAAAGGGGCACTCCTCTGTGCAAAGACATGAACAATAAAAACTCCAAAAGAAATTAAGAGTAGCTAAGGCATGTGAGTGAATGAAAGTAGTCACAGGATGACTCTGCCCGACTAGCTTGGGGTGAAAGGTATGCTCCCTTTCACCTAGAGTGTGGAACGGTGTGTGTGATGAGCTGACTCCCCTATAAAAAAAATGTGTGAATAAAGAGAATAAAAGTTGTTAAATAACTAGGAGTATAAACTAAGCCTGATGAATAGTTTGTTGCCTTGACAACCTAGAAGTGCTTACTTTAAGTTTTCTATTTACCTCTATGCATATACTAGTTATAATCACGCACACAACATAGCAAAGGATCTTGACTAGGGAAAGGACTTGACTGATATGACTGTCGAACATGTTGAGGCCAAATATTTTTTCTTAGGGCTGAAATCTCAAACCTGATGATGTTCTTGATACTGCTTTGCCATGACAATTTTGATTTTCTTCTAGCTATTATCTATTGCTTGAGGACAAGCAATAGCTTAAGTTTGGGGTGTGATAACTCCGCAAAAAGACTCAATTTCTAGTCTTTTCACTTATGTTATTGCTCGTCTAAACAAAGTATGCACTGCATTTTTAGTTGAATTTAGTTGCATATAGGTTATATTAGCCTGTGGTGGATAAGTTTTGCTTAGGTAAAATTTATTTGGCTTGACAGATGTTGTTGGGGAGAAAGGGTTGTTTGAGTTGTGTTTGTGGAGGAATTCTACAGAGGAAGAACATTTCAGTCGTGACAATGAAAAGTTGCAAAGGTCAACGGAACAGAAGAGAAC